CGCTCCCTGCGTGCAGCCGCTTCTGCCCGCGGGGGAGAACCCGGCCCCGCGGTGCGAGGAGGCCTGGGCAGTGCACGCCTGCGTGCCTCGAGCAGTGCTTAGAAGTTGGTTTTGCATCTTCACTTAGAAGTTGTTGCCAATTAACAGGAGATCTTGACATCATTTTCAGACAAATTGGAGAAAACCTGATTGTTCCTGGTGGTGCAAAGACAATTGATGCCTACGGCCAGATCGTGATGCCAGGGGGGATAGACGTCCATACCAGACTGCGGATGCCCATCATGGGGATGACCTCTGCTGATGACTTCTTCCAAGGCACGAAAGCAGCCCTGGCAGGAGGAACCACAATGATCAGTAAGATGAAGCAGCATTCGAACAGACTCCTAAGTAGAACACTGTTTAGGAAAATACATTGGGCCTTTTATCCTTGCAGAGGTTATTTACCCTCAGAGCAGAGAAATGTTAATTTTTGCTGTAGAAATCAAAGCATTACAAAGCTAATTAAAATGCATTATGTGCCTTTCAGAACCTCCTTCCGTTGCTATCCCCATATATAAAAATAATAGTTGCTCCTGCTTTACCTCATAAGAGAATAAAATAGAAGAAAACGTTAAACACCTTTTAATATGTTTTTAATAGCTTTACAAGTGTGTTTTTATAAGAGTTTTTCAGCTCTGTGAGCATGGGTTCCGTTTTTGTGTTAATGTGAAATAATTTTGATATCTGTTTTGTTCTTGTTCTGGTCCCGAGGCCCACTGTAGCATGTGGCTGAGGGACCAGTCTCAACAAGTCCTGGCGTAGCTCTGTACCGATCTCATAGCCAATACTGTAGGGAAGAGGAGCAAAGATAAGAGAAGTGCAGTAACTGATGGGCTGTGCGTGACCGCACATGGAAAATGCCCAGGAGAGCTGTGGTCATGCTTTGGTCACCGGCCTCTCTCAGATGCTGTGCGAGGTAGGCTGTGTGAAAAAAGGCATAGCAATAGCCGTAACTTGGAGTTCGTTTGTTCCATTTGTTTCACTTTATCTGGGAAATTTGTTATCCTTCATCTTTAATCAACGCTGTAAAAATGAATTAGTATTAAAACGTCTCCTTTTCACAGCAGTCAAGTCTTGCACAAGAATATTGGTGGCTGCTGCACTCTGCAGGTATTTCTCTAGCCCTTTCCCTGGCACGCGTGCTAACGCTGTGCGGTGTTTCCTCAGTTGACCACATCTGCCCGGACGCTGGGACGAGCCTCCTGGCTGCCTACGAGCAGTGGCGCGGGAGCGCCGACAGCCAGGCCTGCTGCGATTACTCGCTGCACGTCGACGTCCCTCGCTGGCACGAGAGCCTGAAGGAGGAGCTGGAAGCCCTGGTGAAGGACAAGGGTAAGGAGAAAAAGAGCGGTATTCTGTCAATAACCCCACAAAACACCATAATTCTTGCAGTACAGGCACATAAGCAAGTCGCCGCAGGGTCAGCTGTGATAGTTATTGCTGCTCTGCCGTGCTCTTACCAGTGATAAATGGTTCGTGGAGGGACCTTCGCTGTTGAGGTGTGACCTGCCCGTCCTTCGCCATCAAGGAGAAGGGTGCGGACAGGGGTATTGACACCGGATTCATGCCGTGATGTCTTGTTTGTGTCTTCCCACCTTTGGGCAATGTACAGCCCAGTCATGAAATCTGATTTTGGAAACTGAAGGAACGGCATCGGGCACCCTGATTCAGGCTGCCTGATGTACAGAAAAGTATTTAAATAAAAACGTTCAAGACGCGGCTTATAGAATAAAACTAAGGTTTAGGCTTTCCATAGAGACTTCGTTTGTGCCTGTAATTCCTGCACATCCTGAAATATCCGCAGGACGTGGCTTACCGGAAAGCAGGTCATGCATCAGGAATTCATACATTTCATTAATACTTATTTCCATGTGTGGAACTACATTTTGCTTTCAGATATGCTAATGTAGAGCTAAATGACTTCAGTGTCATTTGCAGTCTTGCAAGCAAGGGCTTTGTTGGTCAATTAACATAGAAATTTGCAGTGAATTTCCTATTAAAATATGGAGTGGCTGAAGTGATATAGCTATTCCAAGCTTATACCGGGTATTTTTCATATGTACATTCACATGAATTACAGTTTATTTGTAATTTGATCGTGGTTTGGGATTAGTTGTTGCCTCTATCCATATAAAATGCAGCAGCAATTCTCTGGCTTTGGCTCAGTGCTTCATGAATCATCCTTTATGTTAGGTAGAAATGATAGAAATTAGGATTACGTGCAATGCTGTATGCAAAGTACTGCCCGTCTCTTTCTCTAGCTAAATAGCAGTGCACTAAATAGCAGTGCTCTAATATTAGAGAGTCTCATCTTTTGCTGTAATTTGGTCTTAGCACTAATACACTAATTCAAGGACAGTTATCGGAAGGAAGTTAAGGATAGGCCATAAATTGAAACCACCACTGGAGGGAAAACTCAGACTGGGAGCAGTGCGTTTGATTCTCTGCATTCGGACCAAGTTACAGAGAGTACCTAAAATCAGAAATGGGCTGTGGGTTGGGTTTTTTTGGTTCAGGTGCCTCCAAAGACGGGGGTGCATTGTCTTTCCCAGCTCCCAAGCTTTGGGGTTCAGTTCTTGCGGGAACAGTTCCCGTTTCAGCCCTTCGCCTTGCTTTGCTGTCAGTCTAGCCCCCGCCGGCACAACCCCCCGCTTCGAACGCCCCCTGCTCAGCCCGGACCGGGGCCCTGAGTTCCCAGCCGTGACAGTAAACACACAAACACACAAGTCCTTTTCTTTTCTCGAGGTGTGAACTCCTTCCTGGTTTTTATGGCCTACAAAGACAAACTTCAGTGCACCGATGCCCAGGTAACAGAGCCAGCCAGCGTCCAGTGAACATCATCACCCACGCGCTGAGCGTGAGCTGCGGTTTGTCTGATGTTGGGCAACCCACTGTCTCTTGGCAGATGTATGAAATATTCTGCATTATTCGAGACCTGGGGGCCATTGCCCAAGTGCATGCTGAAAACGGAGACATCATCGATGAGGTACGGTATTTATGTTCATTTAAATCAAAGGGTGACCAGAGTATTTTGATTTAAGGCAAAGTGCTGACTTCAGCAGGTGGGCTGTAGTGTCTAGTGGAAGGTGGAGCAGTGCCAGCACGCTTTTAGCCTTCAGGAGGTGCTGCAAATTCGGTAGGGATCGGTCCAGATGCGAGAAGGAGGAGCAGCCTGCTGTGACGCCGGGTTGCTCTGGGGAGAGGACCAGCGAGCACTTTGCGGTGTCTGCGGTCAGCAGGGCATCGCCCCGGTCGCTCACCTCTGAGATCTCCGGCAAGAGCCGAGCCCAGCTGAGCAGCCTCGGTCGGTCCGTGCGTGTGGGCACCGAGCCTCGCGGCGGCCGGGGGAACAGAGAAGCGGTGCTCCTGCCTCCTGCCCTGCCCCGCCACCCGCGCCGGGGGATCTGCTCTGCGGGGTAAGCTGGTTACCCGCGCCTCGGAGGGAAAGGGCGGACAGGAGACCCTGTGGTCTGCACGTGCAGACAGAGGAACGCGCGGGAGGATCGAGGCACCAGCTGAAATCATAGAATCATAGAATCATAGAATCATTAATGTTGGAAAAGACCTCTAAGATCATCAAGTCCAACCGTCAACCCAACACCCCATGCCCACTAAACCATGTCCCTAAGCGCCTCATCTACACAGCATCCTCCCAATTCCTTGCCCGTGCTTGGGTGTCGTCACAGAAATCTTTACAAGGACAGTTCAGTGGTTCCCAACAAGTACGTTTTGGGGCTTCTTAAAGGATGACTGTCCTGGTTTCGGCTGGGATAGGGTTTAAGTGACACTTTATCACATTATGTATCTTGTTTAGAAGTCTTGAGTACTTGAGAAAATAAAGAGGTTTGGATCTTTTGAAATAACGTACATTACATTTGGCAATATTTATCTCCAAAAACGGTACTCAGGAACTTCCTTTGTATTGCAGACTTAGCTCACGTTCATTATTTTTCCTTTTTACCTTTAGGAAAAAAAAAATCTTAGATATGTACTGCAATGAGATGATGCTAGGTAGAACTAGACTTGCAGATCCTTTTAGCTTATGGTCACGCAAGTGTTCGGTCTGGTGTGGGAGGAGAGTTTAAAATGAAAGCAGGATCCCAATCCTTCAAATGGGCTTATTTGAACAAACAGGGTAAAGGCTAATGCCCACCTGCCCAGGATTTTATCTGAGAAACCTTTTCTTCAGCTGGCTGTGAATCATAATGTGATCCCAAGCAGTTCAATATCTTCAGAAGTATTTCTTTAAGCCGCCAGTGTGATGACACTCGAGCCCTGGGGACAAACTCAGAGGATATCTGCAATAGGCGTACAGCGGGTGGAAAAACAACCATCCTCTAAGAGCAGGATAAAGCCTGCGAGATCTGGTCCGTAGTGTCGAACAATGTCCTTGCATCTAATGCCAGCTGAGTGGGAGCACTACATGATACAGAACATCACAGAAAGGAAACTGGATGAGGTGTGTGCCAGACATCTGCTTGCAAAGACAACGTGAGTGACCTGGGTGCAACCCAGCGTTCATTCCAGTGTCTGTCACCATGGGGTCCCAGCTAATGCGGGGTCCCTGCAGGGACCTGATTTGTGCCCAAGGTGACGTGAGGCGGTGGCAGCAGGGACGGAGTGCGTCGCTCTGCGGGGGAGCTGGTGCTGCCGGCGCAGCGGAGCCGGGTGGGGAGGACGTGGGCGCAGCCGGGT